CCAGTCCTTCCCACACCATGCTGGTGGCTGATCCCAAATCATTGCCGCGCAGACACGTCACTCCCAGGTCCCAAGGGGCAGGTGGATTGAGAGGCTGTTGCTTGTTGAAGCCAGACTGAGCAGTGCAGCCTCAATGGTGATTACAGGCCCTCGGTGCTTTGGGCCCAGCTTTTCCAACACCTTTGGAATTGGGGGTGTGGGATTGGCGGTCCCCAGGAGGAAAGCCCAGCTCAGGATCTGCTCTTCCCTGCTGTGTGAGAAGCTCTTTGTAACCATTGGGCTCTGTGGGTGAGTGGGAGTTGAACACCCTGTCTTGGGGTGGTTTGTTTGCAATCTGTACAGTGACACTTCTGCTCCAAGTAGAGCCCTGTGCTATGTGTGGGACTGACGGCGTCTCTTGTGCTTTCTCTCCAGACCCTGGACCTGCACTCCTGTCCCAAACCCATTGTTTTTGTGTTGCACACTTTCTTGTCAGCCAAAGTCACCCGTATGGGACTGCTTGTGTAAGAGGTGAAGGGTCCCAACAGCTCCGAACAACACATCTACTGTCCCAGCAGCAAAAAAGCACAAAAGACCCTAGTTTGTGGTGTCCTCCTGCAGTACCAGTGCCTTGACAAAGACTGTCTCATGCCAGAACCATGACAGTGTGGAAGGAAGCTCCTGCCCTCCTCAGAGCCATAGCCAGAAACTCCATCCTCTCCACAATCCCCTGGAATAACTGCTCCACCTGCCTAGAAAATGCTGAGGCCAGGCTGCTGCTGGTAGCTGAAGTGGTTCTCGCATTCTCCCTTTCCAGCCACTTCCTGGCTGCTGGCAATTTCAGACATTCTTCTTCCTGACACCCCTGGGATTCGATTGTCGCCCTGAAGACTCGACGTAAAGCCGAGCATCCGGCACTCATCTGTTGCAAGAAGAGCCATTGGCATGGGGCTGTGAGGGGGGAGCTGGTTAGGGTAGGAACTGTAATCAATCCGTATGACGTCTTTTTTTATTGCTTACCAACTGTGCCTTCGGCGTAAGGTGGGTGGGGCTTTACTGGAGCTGGGGATGAGGAGACTGGGAGTTCAGCACTGGTCGCTCTGGACGAGCATTCCATGAGCCCCCGCCCTCGGCTCGTTCCAAGCTGCCCGGCCTCCCCTGGGAGAAGTGAACTGTTGCAAAGATGGACTTGCGGCTGTGCGGCAACTCTCATGGGGTCATGTAGGCGAGGCTGAGTTTGCTGAGGATTCCTCCTGGAGGGAGGGGGACTCTTCTGAGAGCTGGTGAATCCTGCCTCTTTCTTTTGCAGTCGATAAATATTAGGGGAGGGTACGCAGTACACCCTTCACTGTGGCTTCTGACCCTAGTCACCGAGCCAGAGGAGGGGTCTTTGAACGACTGACCCGGCTCCCTCTGTTGCCACAAAGCCACCTTCCCAGGGATCCTTGGTAAGGAAGAGGCCTGTCCTTCTCACTAGCCAGTGGGATGGATAGTCAGGGAGATTTCAGTCACTTTTCTGACTTGCTTTGGGCACCTGGAAACATCCTAAATACAGAGCACTTGGTGCTTTTTGCTGATGCTTCTTACCGAGGCCCCCGATGGTCAAATGCGACAGGACAGATGCCACATGGCTGGATCGGAGGCACCGAAAGGCCAGGTGGTTGCGTTCTCCGAGATGAGCTGGAATGTGAAAAGCAGCTGATGCCCTATAGTAATGCACACAGCCTCTGGGCCTGGCAACTTCCTTCTGAGACCCTAGCAGCACCCTCTCCTTTCCTAGTGCTGGGCTGCCTGTCTCCCTCAGCCTGTGCTAAGCCCCTGTGCCCAGGTGTGCGTGCTGCAGGGAGGTGGGTGACAGGGGCCTGGGAGACAAGGTGGGGGAGATGGTATCTTTTATTGGACCTACTTCTATGGGTGAGAGGGACCAGCTTTCAAGCCCCACAGAGCTGTGCGCATGCTGGCACAGCCTGTCCCATTCCTAAAGAAGGTTTTCTGAACATCTGCAGGGCCGAGGGGGGGCAGCTCATCCACCAGAGGCAGGGAAATTGCAGTGCTTCCTTCACTCTGGTGGCAGAATTTGAACACAGGGCTTTTGGAAGCCCCCTCCAGCACATCGCTGACCTCTTCCCAACAGGACTCAGGGCACCTGGCAATGCAGCCTGGCTCAAAACTCTGAGAAACAGATTTCACTGCGTAACCCAGACCTTCAGCAGGGCCTGCACCCTCCAGCTCTCTTCCTAGATTCCTGGCTCTCTCATGCTTGGGAAGAGCTGTACCTGGGACACCCAGAGATGGGGAGGCAGGGACTCCAGGAGCCCCACTGCGTGCACACTTCAGGTGGCTTGGACAGTCCTTTGGGGCTCTGCTTGCTTCCTTGGAGCCTCTAGCGCCTACTGTTATGAGTGTTTGATTCCCAGTGTAGGTTGCTCAGGATTAACTCCTGGGATTCAGCTTCTCAAGTTACCAGTGTACTGAGCTTTCCGAGACTGGCTAGAGCCTTGTGGGACACGTACTCCATCTGCAGACCAGTACGGTAGCCCATCTCCTTAGTGGCATAGATCGACAGCTTGATGTAACTAGACTTAGGGTGAGAATTCACAGCACAAAACGTTTGAAGGTGAACCTAAGAGCATGCCGCCTCGAGCCTGGCCTTCCCCAGAACAGGCTCGCAGTGTGTGAAGAGGCGATCCTGGAGGGCACACTTCCTTTAAGTGAGATATGAAGCCCAGATTGTCCTGCCAGCGCAGCAGCCTGCTGAAACCCTAGGGGAGGGAGTGTTCTTCACAGGCCCCTCACAACTACATGGCCTATGCCCGATGCCTAGCAGCTCATTTCCAAACACTGGTTTAGCAACCAACAAAAGCCAATCAGTTGAAACGTGTTTGTTTAAACAACAAATCATGCTAGGTTATAACATACTTAGAATAGTGTCTTAGCTGATTGGGGTTTATGAAGTGAATATAAAATGAGTTCCCGCACAGTACGGATTTGGATAGGTTTGTGTTCGCCCAACAGACTGTTATCTGGTCTGTGGACCAATCGGAAGAGTTGTCATTTCCACGCAAGGCTGTTAAGCTCTTCAGTCTATTTTAGCTGCTCTTAAAGTGGATATTTTAGCTCTAGTATGGTTGGGGTTTGTCCCACCAGTCCAGCGAGTGCTGGAAACCACAGCGTCTGCATGGTGAAAAATCTACTGCAGGGAGAGTAGACTTGTTCTAAGCCTCAGTTCTTAATACTCTTAACGCCACAGGGTGATTAAGCTGTTACCATGTTAGACTATTTTCTTATCTAAATGTCTGTTTTCTTTAATTTGCAGCTTCACCACATTGGTGGCTGTAAAGCAGTGGAATATTTTTACATTAGAGGCTAGGCTAGTTTGGTCTCTTACCAAAAGCCACAAGTCAACTTAAATTAGAATTCTGGACAAGGTCCCTTCTCCCAGGAAAACGTGGCTTGCTAGGAACCAGGTTTACGAGTTTAAAGGTGGGGTCCATCAGCAGGGGAATATTCAACCCTGTTGTACTGGAAGTGTGAGTAGTGTCAGTATATCACATAAAATGGGACAGTCTCCCTGCCCCCCCCCCCCTTATTCCTTCATTCTGCAAACTACCTAATAAGCTGCTATGCAAATTGTTGTGCCCTGGCTGGTTTCAAGGGGTTAGATATCCCTGAGGATTTCAGGGAAGAACTTGTAGACTTAAGCACTTTCTCTGCTTTTTTATTTTGCTCTGACACTTAAGGTTGAGTGGTTGCTATTTTAAGCTCTGGTGGTGGTCACTGATTGTCAGTACTGCCCAGGATCTGTGCAAAACTTCAGTGTAAATGCCTTGCTGTCAGTGGGGTGAACTCTTCCCAAATCACCTGTCACTAGCAAAGCTCTGGTTGAGGTGGCAACTGAAATGTCAAGAGTAGACGCCAAATCGAATTGCACGTGATGGACGTTTGGCTTAACAGGAGGTTATTTTAACTCATTTCGATTGGATTTGGATTTCTGTGGGAGGTAGGGGAGTACTTAGTACTGCCTTGTCATAACCGCCCACTACAAGCTGAGCTGGCACCCCTTGTGCACGGCCAGCTGGAATGAAGTACAGTATGGTCTGTCTTCCCCTTTGCATCAGATGTGGTATAGTTAATGTGCAGAAAGGCTCATGCTGCCAGCCTGAAACTGTCTCCCAACCGACCCAGGTTCCTTCCCAGGCTTCGCTGTGTTAAGAATTACATTCTGTCCTGTTTAAGCAATCACTTTTGAGCCTTTTGCCACAAAGCCTGAATTCGATCCTGACTTGCTTCACGAGTGAAGCCCCTGAGATCTCAGCCTAGTCCCCGGAGAACCTGTGTCCAAACCAGACCAATCTTCTCATTCGCGTGAGCGTCAGTGTTCACTGAATGGAGGCTCAGGTCTGTTGCGGATCAGAGGTACTTGGGGAAACTTGCCAGTTTGCACTCCGCCTAGTTCTCCCCAGGGCTGTCTTCCATTCATGCCAAATATCTGCCCTGTTACAGAATGCTGCATGCCCTTCTGGAACGCTGCGAGCCATCGCTTACTCTGGACGCTCGGGTCCTCTTAGCTTTTAAGGTTTTTAATGTTGGTATTCAAAGCCTGTTCTGCAGACTGAATTTCTGATGCTCAAGCCCCCACTGTGTCCCAGCTCCTCCCCAGAAGTGTTGAGGTACCAGATTTATCTGCAGTACATACACTATGTGCCTCACCTGGCCTCGTTTGTTTCTGGTGGCAGCAGCCGCCCCCCTTCCCAGAGCCTGTGTAGAGACATGGGGAAATGTACAAACTCCTGGGAGCTTGTCCTGTCTTTTCCCTGTAAGTGGGGGAAAGGGCTCCAGAATGTCTGCGAGAGACTGCTCCTGCCCCCTCCCACATCTGTGCAAACCTCTGGATTTTGTGTGAGGTGATACTTTGGAAAGCTAGAAAATGCAGCTGGAGCGCTCTGTTACAGCATTCCATGTGGAAGATACACCACTGAGAGGCATCCCAGGTTATCCTTGGAAACCAGAGGGAGGAGAGGAGAATATCTATGCTGAGCTTGTGTTTTCTATCCAGAATAAGAACAGGCAAGTGTCTTAAATATGGCCCTATCGGCCTGGATGACCATATTGGGGGGGGGGGGTGTAATTAAACTAGTGAATGGTGTTTACAAAACCTTACACAAGCTGCGTAGATTTTAAAAGCTATCTAGTCAATCAATTCCTCCTACCAACTCCTCTTCAAACAGCACTTGTGGGATCGACTCCCAGAGTTAATACTCTGCAAAATCTTTGCAGATTCTTGTGCTTTCCCCAATACAACATTTCTATGCCTGTGGCTAATTCCCACAACTGAAAGCAGACATGGCACGCATGGCTTAATTTGTAACGAAAGAGGTGCCAGGGCTCAAGCAATTTTTTTACTTTCCTAACTGACACGCCAAGCCCAAAGGTGCCGGGGCTCAGCCCTGGCGGAAATTAAGCACTGCTTGCATGTAGAAACCAGGCTACACTTTTCTTTAAAAGGAGGCCAGTAGCCTCTTCACATTAGATAATAAGCAATAAAGAAAATGGATGTGAAACTAGTAAAAGCAAATGAGTCTTTGGCTGTGGATCCCACTCCCGGTGTGCATGTGCTTCGTGGGAGCCACATGGACAGAGCATCCTGAAGCACCATGGTTGCTGTAAGGCTAAGTAACCGTTCTCTACAGCCAGCCCACCTCTGCCTTTTGCCTTTATGCTGCCAGGATTTTGCTACATGAGTTAATTCTGTTTCTGCTGCTGATCTTGCAGCATCCTGGCCTGCAACACAGTACATCAAAACCTTGATTGCACTTTCATGTTCTAGAATTTGGGGGAACTACAGGGCTAGTTCTGCCTTGTTTTAAAAATAAATTAATTTGCAGTGACATCTCTTCTCTGATGAAGAAAATTAAAAAAATAAAATCCCCTTGACACATCAATGTTTGTGGTGCTCCATTTTCCTTTTAGCATATCTACCTGTCTGGGATCAGCCAGTGTAGGGGATCTCACTACAGTGTATCAGTGTGAAGTTTACAATTTGGGTCAATAGAGCATTACAAGCCCCAGGTGCTAAAGACAAGAACCCTGTAGGTATAACTGGCCCCAGGTCATCTGAAGAATAAATTGCACCGAACCACTACAATTAAACTGTTTTTTAACCTGTGCAAACTCTATGCTGTTTGATATGATATAATCAAGGCACAGACTGTAACACTCCCATGAAAACAATAAAATAAGATGCA